TTTATATCTTGCTGTATTTCACTCACTAATGTTTTGTTTAGGATGTTCATGAGTGAGATCAGGCTCTAACTTTCCTTGTTTGTAACAAACTTTTCAGATTTTAGTATTGCAATGGCTATTCTGCATGACCACCAAGGTGGGATCTTATATAGGGACCAACAATCAAATTTGTGAGCCACAAGATGCTTCACCCTGCACCATATTGACATAGCTTTCTAGTAAGATAAATGATGAATAACATATTATGCGCTGCAATGGAACTATAAAAGTCTTGTTTATCCCCTGTGGATCTTCCTATGTCCACAATAATTTCATCCTAGAATGAGAATGCTTAGGAGACATGAGACAGACTGCTCTAGGTCAAGAATTGCACCAGATCTGTGGTCCCTTTGGCTTTTATATCTTGATGATTATGTAGCCCTCTCTGGGATGTATTTCCAGCTCATATTTTTCTGTGCAGCTGCCTCTTGTCAATTACTGGTTACTCAATAGGCAATCTTAACAAATAGGCATAGCATGCTGGTTCACTACATAGCAGGATCCTAATTTGTCTTATATCTAGCATATGCTTATAGATTCTTTGGAACCAGGAGTCAAATCCTCAGATTTTCTGGAGGATAAAGAAATGATTATAACCCACCTATTAATTATTCCTTCTAGTTTTCCTCTGACAGTTTTCAACACTTCTTTGTCATACCTACCTCAGGCATTTAAAAAATAATTCTTACTACAGTAACTTCTACAATATTTGATGTACAAAATGGATGTTTCAAAACTCTGCAACACTAAGACCTCTATGAGCCAGTAAAGAATTGGAATTCCTTCCCAACAATCACATCAAACTATCAGTACACTCTCTTAGAAGATTTCTGACATATCTTTTTCAATTGGACTATTTCTCTCTTTCTTTTTTCTCCATTACCATCCTCATTTTTAATAGGCTTCAACAGATACATTCAGTTGCATATATAACTTTGCTAAAGCTAAATTTACTTCCTTTACTGGCCAATAAGTATCCATGAGTATTACATCAATTGGAAATTTCAGTTTGAATTCCCAAAAGCTCTTTTAATTCTGGCAACCATTTTACACGTATGTTACGTTTTCATTTATTTTTATAAGTTAGTCTTAAAATTCTTTATTATGCCATATACCTGTGGCAGACAGATTAAATAATGTTTAACACATCCACATTAGTTATTATAACAATGCCAATTTCCTATTCTTGCCAATAAAAATACCATTTTCTCATATAATATTCATTTCCCATAACAGATGTATTGCCCCCGCTCCGGACCTCTCTCCTCCATGGAGGGCTCCTACCTTAGGGTGGCTCCCGCCTGGCCAGCTGAGAAGCTCCGCTGCTCCCAAAGGTTGCTTTTTTCCTCTCCAGCCAGAGTTACTGCCTCTTTTGCCTTCGTCAGGACTGTCCCTTTTCATTAGGGTTCTTTTTATCCAATTTTCAGTTTTCAATCCAGGGTGATTCTTCCCAAAATTGTTGTAACCTGGTTGTGTTCGTGGGAGGAGGCGACTTCAACGTCTGCTCACAGCGCCATCTTGACGAGATCCTAACAGATGTAAGCAATAAAGGTAATTGCTTAGGTCATTGTATTAACTCAAAATTTAGTTATCATTGTGGAGCACTGCCCATGTGTCTCCCATGGGGATGATCTAAGCTTGATCACTAACCTGTTAAAACTCTAACAATTATATCACAGAGAGTTAAGGTTTCTTTCTACTTTTTGATACTGTGGCTCGGGGGAGTATCAGTAAATATCAGGCTTACCAGTAAAATCTAGCTATAGTTTAGGCTGGCCTAATGTTCTTTCCTCTTGCCTGAGCCTGTGACACAACTGGCCACTGTAGCTTAAATATGTCAGATGCTATTGCTATCAATATGGCAATTACTTCTTCCTAGGTGAGAGTATGCGTTTTCTCTCATAGTTATTGACAAGCAAGTTGCTGAGTCAATTTAGTAAATGCATAGTCCATTTAAATATTGCTTCATCATATTTCTGGGCCAAATGCCAAGTTCAGTCAGTTTCTTGGAAGAGGACCCCCTCTAGTGACCATTTAGACCATAATAGTGAGTCTCCAGGAAAGTGATTTCCACTTGACTCAGCACATTTAGTCAAGTTCCCAACTCCCTAAGTCCCTCCTCTTCCTCTGGGTCAATGTCATGTGATCAAAGTCTTGTTGCCATGACTGTTCACAGCATGAGACTAACTCAAGTACACTATATGCATCAAAAACATTTTATGCTCCTCAAGGGATTACCAGGTGAGCATATTCACTTAGCCAGGACAGTATCCCAAAGCTTTCCCACAATCTTCATGTTTGTTTGTTTTGGAAGTTCCAGAGTGAAATCATCATTGATATGTGACAACTCTGTCATGCCAACATTCCCTTCTTGGACATCATTGTGATTCCTTAAATGCCTCTGGTATACTTTTCCAACCATATTCATATCTAATGTAGTTAAAAGAGCAAGTGAGATTCTTACATGCTGGGCAGACAACAGCAATGCATCTCCCTCATACTGAGGTACTTGCTTTAACCAGGGTGTCATCCTGCTTTACAGAAACATAACATAGCAGTTGTTAGCTGACAGTCACAGTATATCCAGTGAGGCTCAAAGGCAGGAATCCTCTTAGGGCTACAGAGAATCAGCATGATAAACACAACAACAAAAAATGACTAAAATGATAATCTCAATCTATTATTATCTAGGCAGAGCAACAAGGAACACTGATTGATGTCTTCTTTCCAAATTGTATACATACAATCTCAGGAAATAGTTGTAGTGTGACTTTTGTCCACCCCTCCTTTTCAGGGGAAAATGAATCCTGGGACATGTTCTTGTATTGACCATGACTCAACACTCCATATGAGAGAAACAAGTGAGAATATTACTCTCTTGTTCTGAGGTAGTTTCTCAAGAAAAGAATGATGACTCCCTTTTCTGCCTTTATTTCCCACTAGGTGATTTCATTTCAACTGCCACAGTTCTCCCACTTTTTCCAATTGCTTCCTGTCTTAACCCAGACTGGGCTTCTCTGGATAGATGTTTCTGGGTCAGCTATACTGACCTCTACAGGGATGTAGCGGGATGAGGCTCTCCAGAGCTGCTACTTTGTCCATTTCCAGGAAGGAGTAGAAAGGCAAAGGATGAAGGGGCCATCTCTACCAGGAGAGAGTGAGGTGTCACCCGTAGTCAGTCTCAATTTAACCCCACTAGGTGAAGTCAATGTCACCTTCATTTTTCCTTTAGGAATATGTGCAAATTTAGAGGAATTTAAATAGAATTCTGAGAAGCAACCTCACCTTCTGTCTAGGCATGCGAATGCTATCCTAGACTCAAGTCAATTGGATTCACAAGAGAAAAAGAAATTTTGTGAGATGGAGATAGTTTTTGTGAAGTAATCGGTAGCATCATCCCGCCCCCTCTCATTCCCACCTCTGCATCCTCCAAAATTTCCAAAAATGATCCCCTTATACTATCCTTTATATTCAGATGAAGCACGCATTTGTCTGGTGTTAACCTATATTGTGCATCAGTGCCCAATAGCCCCAAAAACCTTCACTTACTATCTCCAGGTCGTCTAGCTTCTATTAAAACTGAAGCAAGGCTGGCCCGGTGGCACAGCAGTAAAGTTTGCACATTCTGCTTCAGTGGCGTGGGGTTTGCGGGTTCGAATCCCAGGTGTGGACCTATGCACCTCTTGTCAAGACGTGCTGTGGCAGGCATCCCACACAAAATAGAGGAAGATGGGCATGAACGTTAGCTCAAGGGCCATCTTCATCAGCAAAAAGAGGAGGATTAGCGGCATATTTTGGTTCAGGGCTAATCTTCCTCAAAAGAAAAAAAAACCACAACTGAAGCATAATTTGCATCTGGTAAAATGACTCAAATCTGAAGTGTGTAGCTTTCTACTCATGATTTGTTTATCTATTTCCTGTTTGTGTACATTTGAGTTGTTTTTAGTTTGTCCTCTTATGAATAAACCTGCTATGATTTTTTGTACCAATTTTTTTAAATACCCATAGGGTAGTTGCATCTTTAATTTTGTTAGCAATTGCCAAACTGTTTTCCAAAGTGATTGCATACTTTTACCTTCTTACCATCAGTACATGAGCGTTTTCAGTTGCTCCAAATCCTGCAAAACTTTTGTATTGTCTTTTTAATTGTAGCCTTTCTATTGAGCGTTCAGTGGTATCACATCGTGATTTTAATTTACATTTCCTTGATAAGGAACAATGTTGCTTGCCTTTTCACGCTTGGTATTGGACATTTGAGTATCTTCTTCTGTAAAATGTCTGCTCAAGTTTTTCCACACTTTTAAAAGTTGAGTTGTGTGCTTTTGCTTATTGATTTGTATGAGTTATTTGTATATTCTGCATATGTCTTTTGTTTTATGTATACATTGTGAATATTTCTCCCCTTTCACTTTCTTAAGCTATCTTTTGATGAATAGAAGTTTTATTTTTATGAAATCCAATTTAGTAATTTTTCATTTATAGTTAGTCCTCTTTATTTCCTCACCAAGAATTCTTCACTCATCTCTAGGTACAAGTACATTTTTGTATATTTTTTCTGTTTTCTTCAAGAAATTTTATAGTTTTAGCCCTCACATTTAGACCTATGAGACACTTTGAATTAATTTTCGTGTGTGGTGTGGAGAAAGGGGTCAAGGTTTGTTTTTCATGTGTATATCCAATGTTCCAGCTGGATATACTGAATGGGTCCTCCTTTCACCATTAAATTTCATTGACACTTTACCAAAAATCAAGCGATCATATAAATAAAGATACATTTCTGAGCTCTCTCTTCTGTTGCATTGATCTATTTATGTATTTTTATACAAACACTGCACTATACTAATTATTTTAACTTCATGCTAAGTCTTGAAATGTGGTAACGTGTCTAGTACAATTTGGTGGGTTTTCTTCAAGGTTGTCTTCGCTGTTCCAGGTCATTTTCATTTCCATTTCCATTTCAGAATTGACTTGTCAATTTCCAAGGACAGCGACCAGGCTCCTGTTCCCAGGCTTGGAGTGAAGTGGTTAGAGTCAGGGTCTGCTCTCCCAAAGCCTAAGCTGTGGCAGCATGGCCTCATTTGCTGTAAGATATCTATGGACTGTGGTTAGGGATGAAGATCACAAAGGATCACATTAAAACGACCTCTAGTTTCTCACTGAAAACGCCTGATGCAGTTGGACGATGCAGATATGTCTTCAAAGTTCCAAAAGGTTTGGTACCTGGAATGCTATATCCTATCAAATTATCATTTAAGCAAAAGAGCCAAGTAGTGATGTTTTTCGGATATGCAAGCACCTAGAAAGTTTTTCTTCAGCTGGTGCCTTACAAAGAATGTCTTTCATTGGTCATCTGATTTATTAATAGTTTTAAATTCCATGAGCCATAAATATTTATTTGAACTAATCCAGACATTACAAATGTGTATAAAGTGGAAATTTTCTCCCTGTCTGTCCCCCCATGCATTTCCATTCTTACTCCACTGACTATACACACACATATATTTATACATTTTAAACATAATGAATTCATACTTTTATACTTTGTTCCACATATTGATTTTTCTACTTAATGACTTTTCAAGGAGGTAAAGGGCATCCATTTGATTCTTTAAACGTGCTGCATGCATACCATTATATTCTATGTAAATAATCATAATTAATTTCTCCATTCCCTATTGATAGGAATTTAGATTGTTGCCAACTTTTATCTGCCATAAACTGAGGTCCACCGAAAATAAAAGATATCTCAATATTCAATATACATTTATGACAACATTTCAATAGGTTAGGCTCCGAAGAGTGAGAGTTCCTAAAATAAAATATTAAATTACTTATTTAAAAAAACTTTTGCTTTTACTAAAAAAACGCCACTAATATCAGATTTTACAAAACCTTTTAAAATTAGAATCAACTATTTTTAAACAGATAACTTTAGGGATAGATGGAGGGAAGAAAAGTTCCAACCTCCCTGGTATGGAATGGATACATTTCATGTTATCACTCTTCATGCTTATTCTTTATGGCCATTAGCATTTTTTAATTATATGGTAGAAAAATAAGAGGAAATTAACAAGAAATAAAGCCAAAGCAATACAATAAAGTAAGAGTAGAAAGAGAAAAGAAGAGTAAATGTAAAAACTTGATTTCTAAACAGGAAAAATGTCTTTTAGAGAAAAAATAAATTACAGAAATCCTCAAAATGAGAAAATTAGCTAAAATGTAATCATGCCCTTCCCTCTCTGCCTCCATTCTTTTCCTCTTCTAATGTTTGCAAAGACATTCAACAGCTATAAATTAAGAAATTGTGTTAAGTAATACACTGGAATTTGAAGGATTTTGGATGATAAATCTTAATAAAAAGAGAGAAATTTGTTCACGAAATATTTTTGGGAAAAGAACTAGTTTAATGCAGTGTTTGGAAGATGAGAAAGTGATGAATCTTCGTAGGAAAGAGGAAGAATAGTGAGGATGATCATCATGATTTCAAGAGAGTCAAGGCCAACTGGTGGGCCATCAACAATTGATGTAAGTACTCTTAATAGTCTTGTCTCACATGAGTTAAAAATGCTAACCTCCATCAGCTTGATTGTTTACCAAGAACAAGGGGAAACTAGAGTTGAGTGGAGCCAATTCCACTTGTGAGCTTGTCATGAGGGTGCTGCCTGGGATTACTTCTTTCCCATCAGCTTCCTCAGGCCCCGTTTCAGGTCTTTGTTTCTCAGGCTGTAGATAAAAGGGTTTAGCATGGAGGACAAAACTGTGTAGACAATTGTTGCTATGTGGTCCCTGACAGCGTAGGTGGACAGGGGCTGTAAATAGACATAGAAGATGCTTCCATAAAACAGTGTTACCACAGTGAGGTGAGAACCACAGGTGGAGAAGGCTTTACGTTTCCCAGCAGCTGAGGGAATTTTGAGAACCGCAATGAGGATTAGTACATAAGAGAAAGCAATGAATAGAAAGGGAGTCACCAAAACAACAGATCCTTCTATCATTATCACAATTTCATTGACAAATGTGGAGGAACAAGACAATTTCAGCAGAGGGCCAATGTCACAGAGAAAGTGATGGATAACATTGGAGTCACAGAAGATGAGATGATTCAGCAAAAGTGTGTGTAGGAATGAGTGGAAGTGAGGAAATGAGCAGGAGAAGGCCACCAGCAGGACACAACGGCGGTGGCTCACGGTGGTGACATAGTGGAAGGGGTCACAGATAGCCACATAGCGGTCAAAGGCCATGACTGCCAGAAGGAAGCTGTCAGAGTTGCCCAAAGCATAAATAAAATACATCTGTGTCAGACACCCAGCATAGGAGATGGTCTTCTTTGACAGGAAGTCCACTAGCATCCTGGGGACTATGGTTGTTGTAAAGCAAATGTCAGTGAAAGACAGGCAACTCAAGAAGAAATACATGGGAGTCTGAAGCTGGGGGTCAGAGTAGATGGCCAGGATGATGAGTAGGTTCCCTGTTATGGTGACCAGGTATATGGTGAGGAAGAGGATAAAGAGTGGCTTCTGGTCCTCAGGCCGGGAGGAGAGTCCCAGGAGGATGAACTCAGAGACACTGCTGGTTTGGTTGACATTTTCCATTGACTTGGGTCTAGTTATATATGAAGTTTTCTTATTTAATGTACTTCAATGCCTTCACCCAAATCATGAGAACCCAGCAAGTCTTTGTTTTCTCAGTTTGGTCACAATTAGCTGTTGTGCAGGGACAACTTGTCAACCTCATTGTCCTTGATGTCATCCTCTCATCCCAAATCCGTGAACATCATAAAGGCCTTATCTTGAAAGCTGGGGAAACAGAACAAGAGCTTTCCTTTAGAAACCATCAGAGGTGGATCTCTCTGATTCAAGTTCATTAGTTCTTATTCTACGCAAAGCACTGTTCCCCTGCTGAAGACACAGCAATAAAAACAGATAAATCTTTGCCTTTGCGAAGCTCGTGTTCTAGTTGGGGAGACAGATCATCAACAAACAAAATATGTAATATAATATCAGGTAGGGATAAATTTTCTGTACAAAATAAAGCAACATACAAGGGGGTGGAGATGGATGGAGAATGTGGGTGGAGGTATTTTATACAGGGAGGTCACAGGACACACATTCCCTATCAAAACAAATTCAGTTCTGTCATTCTAAAGTTCATCTTTCCATTGTCATGGGAAAAAATAAGCATTTGTCAACATAACCAATAAGGCAAATCTAGGAGGAATGTTGAACCAGCTTCAAAAACAATGAGTTTTTTTCTCTTCTGGGGACACGATGAGAGATTCATCCTCCTTAGCTCATGGCATGCTATCATCATCAGACTGTACAAGTTTCCTCTTTTTTGTAAATTTATTTTCCTTTCTTTAACACCCTTTCCTACATAATCTTCGTACAAGATGGTCATGCATTGCTGAGTATTCAATTAATGCTTTTAAAATTCATCTCTCATATATGGATCCAAAAATATCTATGAGAAACTTGTTAATTTTTAAAATATACTTGTGTTTTTTAAGTCATTCAGTTACTTAGTGATGGACATCAAAGTGACCTACATTTCTTGCTATTACAAAAACTCTGCAATGAGAGATCTTGTATCTGAAAAGTGTTTTAAATCAATTTTAGAGTCAGCATATCCATCCATACCTTATGAATGGGCAAAGTACATAACAAGTCTCAAGCATTTTGTGCCATTGGTTATTTACGTATTCTTGGTTACCATAAAAAAATCCCTACAATGAACATACTTATATCCTCGAAGTGTTTAAAATAGTTTCTTTAGAGGTAGCAATTCTTTTACACATTTAGAGTGGACCTATTACATTGGACTTGTCATGCATTTAAAAACATCTTACATCTATATTAATGTATATAATAATATATTAATTCATTTAACAATTAATTGCCTACATTTTAGTTGTAAGTTACTAAACAGCTTTAAACTTCAGTCTTTTTGTGTATAATATTGGACACAGATAGCCACATTCACAGGAAGATTTAGTGAGATAATGCAATTTAAGCAATGGGGAAAAAGATCTTGTAAGGATCTTGTAAACACTCAGGAGAAGCTAATGATCCTCCTAAATCCCAGTGTCATCTTCCCTTATCTGCTATTCCTGTATGTTCTGAAAAGCAGTTAACTCACATGCTTCAAATATATCTCTCATTGCCAAATTGTCAGGCTAATTTCATGATTTTGTTATATTTTATATTCATATTTGTTTCTGCATTGAATAATTTGAGTGAATCAATAATTGAAGTTAATAATACTCAACCATATTTATTGAAAATGTGTTACATGTCAAGCCTATGCTAAGAATCTCATTAAATCCCATGATAAGCAGTCATGAGTCACGTGTTGTTATCAGAAGACTGAGGCTGAGAGATGTAAAGTGGTTTGCTCAAGGTCACTAAGGAGTGAAGAGCAATCAGGATTTGAACCCCAAGCTGACTCATTCTGAAACTCATGCTCTCAATCCTGATGCTTCGCCTCCTCATGTTTTGGTATATGCATTGTCTATCATGATCACACACATGCTTTGTCTTCCTCGCTGTGATAATTTCCTACATTAACTACCCTTCTATCCCCCTTCTATCCCCCTTAATAACAAGCTTTCTTCCCCCATGTTCAGAATCTGTCCTTGTAATTGCAAGAGAAGTGACATGTCTTCCTGTGTTGTACAGATGGTGGAATTTGAAAATTTGAATACCCATGTTAACTGGACAAAATCAGGTGGAAAAAAATTGACTATGCATGGCTGGAGTGTGTCTGGTGTGTGGAATTGTGATCGTGCAGCAGAGAGTGCCCTGGACATAAGACTTTTGATGTGAGTTTGATTTGTCCTCCATCACCTGCTCACAAGCAGATTCCTGATGTTTCATGAATAGCAAGTGTGATATCATATCTTAAAAGCAATTTGTCAGTCATAGATCAATACTCAAAAATAAGTCATTTGTGGAAGGGCTGCCTGGAGAATGCTGAATACAAAGCATTAGTGACCTGAGTTAATTAATGAGATTGGGTGCTCCAGGTTGTAGACATGAGGATCACCCACGTTGATGATTAGAAAAAAGGAAGAAGGTTTTTGATCTGAGAATCAGGAAAAATAGTTCTAAAAGCACAAGGTGAATGGATGAGGCTGAGAATACAGTAGATTTTTTTTTTTTTCTTTTCTAGTGATGGGGTTTTGCTTCCACCAAAACATACAGTGTAGATGACCTAGAGGTCAAACTTGATGGACTTAAAACAAAAAGCTAGGTGAAAGTTTTAGTTGGACTCTATGAGTTTCTAATCCATGAAATATCTGAAAGTACCATGGAGGAAGGAATAAGTACCAAACTGGGTTGGAGAAGTCTGGAGGGTGTCAAGATTACTGAAGCTCACCTTTATATCTAGATGTGTTTCTTTTCTTTCCAGTTTCTCCAGAAGCTGATGTGTACCACATCTGCTAATCGGCTCCAAGTCTGCTTCTAAGGAAAAGCTCAGCTACTTCATGTTTCTCCCATGTAATTCTGGGCTGATTAACAAGGAAAGAGACAAGAAAGAAGGGAGGAACTGATACACTGTTTTAACACGATAACATGTTTCCCTTTTAGTGGCCTCAATCCTGTTTCTTTCCTAACATCTGGTCCCCAGTGTGATGCTGCCCTAGCTCCATCTCAGAAGGCAGAAATGACCTGACTCAAGTGGCAAGGACTCTCTTGATTCTGGAAACCCAGGCAGCTTCTCATGAGTCTGAGCTATGCTAATGGCCTCTGGGGTCCTTGTTAGGTGGATGTAGTTGTGGAGTGATGACCTCTCAGGGGACTTTGTCTTGTTATCTCTCTAAGCAGAGAAAGTAGAATAGGAATCAGTTAGCAGAGCCGACTTGAAGGGGATAAGGGGACACTTGAAGCTTCCTGTTAAAATGTTGGGGCTAATCTCAGAGCTTCTTAGCCTCACTGCAACGTCTCAATGGCATGCTTCAGTTTCCCCAATTATGGGTTATCAAGGGTGAACAAATGTTTCTGTAGATGAATATCTTTATGGTTGGGGATTCAGATGTAGCTTGAGGTATGTTCTAGAATTGGGCAGGTCTTAAGTTAATATGGGGAGGTTGAAGTTTTCAGGCTATTCAATGGGAGTAGATCAATGGTGTGTATGTGCATTCCAGTGTCTGGGGAGGCATGTGGATTAGATTTTTTTTCTGTGTGGGATTAGGTTAATCTTAGTTTTTGCATGGTTAAAGCACAGGGGCAGGCAAAGGTTATCGTCACATTTAGAAAAGTTGCTTTAGAAAAAGAAGGTATATGTTTTCAGAGTTCATGCTCAGAGTAGTGTGCTGAGGGTTAGTGCTGAGGAAAGGAGATATTTATTAGAATGCTGGTTGTGCCACTTAGTCGCTTTTTTTTATTGTTATTATTTGTTATCTTTTGAGGAAGATTAGCCCTGTGCTAACATCTACTGCCAATCCTCTTTTTGCTGGGGAACATTGCCCGTGAGCTAAAATCTGTGCCCATCTTCCTCTATTTTGTTTGTGGGACGCCCGCCACAGCATAGCTTGATAAGCAGTGCATATGTCCACGCCCTGGGTCTGAACAGGCAAATCCCGGGCCCGCTAAAGTGGAGCACATGAACTTAACAGCTACGCCACTTGGTGGCACCTACCACTTCGTTGCTTTTAGCAAGTTACGTTGCCTCTAAAGCTTCAGTTCTTCATTTGAAAAATGAGGACAACTCTTCTTGGCACTAAAACAAGAGAGAAAATGTCCTTTCGGATTTTATAGAGAGAATATTGTGCTTTTTGGTGAACATCATCCACAACTATATTACAGGAAATACAAAAACATTCTGCTATTGCTCTCAGTGTAAACCATTGCCTCACATAATACGCTTGTGTCTTTTTTCTTAGCTTTGAATTTAATTTTTAAATTTTAATCTCTTTATTAACAGTAAGTACTACAGAGACAGAAAGGCCTGGGTTTGAGTCCTGCCTCCTCCACTTACTATTCATGTGACTTTCCTTCTTTCTGTTCATTTATTAAACAAACATTTATTTGTTTATTTCCAATTTTATTGAGATATAATTGACATATAACATTGTGTAAGTTTAAGGTGTACAATGTAACGATTTGATGTACATATATATTACAAAATGATTACCACAATAATGTTAGTTAACACACCCATCACCTAACACAGTTACAGATTTTTTTCTTGTGGTGAGAACTGTTAAAATCTACTCCCTTAGCAACTTTCAAATATACGAAACTATAACTATAATCACCATGCTGTAAATTACATCTCTAGAATTTATTCATCTTACAATTGGAAGTTTGTAACCTTTGACCATCTTCATCCATTTCTCCCACCCCCATTCCTCACTCCTGACAACCACAAATCCACTCTCTGTTTCTATGAGCTCTATGTTTTTAGATTCCAGATATAAGTGAGAATATGCATTATTTGTTTTTTCACTTAGCATAATGCCCTCCAGGTTCATCCATGTTATTGCACCTGGCAGGATTTCCTTCTTTTTATGGCTGAATAATATGCTGTTTTATATAGATTTTTTATTTTATTTATCCATTCATCAACTGTTAAACACTTAGGTTGTTTCTATGTCTTGGCTATTATAAATAAATCTGAAATGAATTTGGAAGTGTAGATATCCCTTTGAGTTAATGATTTCATTTTCTTTGGATATATACCCAGAAGTGGGATTGCTGGATCCTATGGTAGATCTATTTTTAAGTTTTTGAAGACCGTTCATACTGTTTTCCACAATGGCTGCATCGATTTCAATTCCCACCAATAGTGCACAAGCTTTCCCTTTTCTCCACGTGCTCACCTGCACTTGTCCAACTGGTGGGAGTGTGGTGGGTTCCCATTGTAATTTAATTTGAATTTCTCTGCTTATTAATGAAACTCAGCATCTTTTCATATGCATATTGACCATTTGGAGTTCCTTCTTTTTGACGAAATGTTTGTTTGATTATTTTTCACAGTTTTTTCCCACCTGTTTTGTCTGTCTTATCGTTACTGATTTCTAGGGATATTTATGTATTCCTAATTTGAATGTTTTGTTGGTTTTATGAATTTCAAATACCTTTTAACATTCTGTTATTTGTCTTCTTCCTCCATGATGTCTTTTGATAAACAGAACCAAAGAATTTAATTTCAACATGGTCCAATTAATGTTATTTTCTTTTGTGGTTAGTGCCTTCTGTCTGTGACTCACTTGAGAAATTATTTCCTACCTCAAGGAGACAAAGATATTTTCCTATACTATTTGCTAAAATATTAATAGTTTTTGGTTTTTGTATGCAAATTTATGATTCATCAGGAGTTAATTTTTGCATATGGTATGGGGTAGGGACCAATTTCATTTTTCCATGTGGATTCCCAACTGTCTTTGCTCCATTTATGAAAAGATGCTCTCTAGTGCCTCATTCATAAATCAAGCGTATACCAATGTGTGAATATGTTTCTGTGCTCTCTATCTTGTGGTATTTGTTCTGTTTGTCTACTCCTTCAACAATATCTGTATAGTCTTAATTACCATGGGTCTACAGTAGTTCTTGATATCTGGTAGACTAATGATTCTCAAAGTACTGTTTCTAAATCAGTACACCAGCATCACCCGGGGGTTTGTTAGAAATGCAAATTCTTGTACCTTAATCAGATTTACTCAAGGGTCATAGTCATAGGTCTATGGCCATGCTCAGCCTTGGAGGAAATGTTAAGATCAGGATTTTCTCTTCCAAGTCCAAAGTGTTGATAGTAATATAGGACAACTATAGGTTATGTGGAGGTGAGATTGCTTCCTGCATTCTGTGTTTCCTCTTTATCTGGTTCTACTACAAAGTAAGAATTAGGACATTGAATGGGGTATTCCTTTGGTGACCTAACCTCCTTTATATTACCCCTCTCCTACCGTGACATGATATTATTGCTATTTGAACAAAAAACAGAGCAATAGATTATGTTACATTTGTCTTACTGATTAGTAGTTTTAATTCTACAAAAAATACATGTCCTCTTTTAACAAATTCAAATATTCAGATATATACAAACAAAAAAGCAAATGTTATCTCCATCTTCCTGGAAGAATCACCTAGAATTAACCATTTTTAATGGCAGGTTTTCTTATTGGATATATAATCTCACCTATTTACCACACTCATGTACACACTCACTTATTCATATTTTTCACCTTAATAGGTTTATTCTTGAGCATTTTAATTTGCAACCTGCTCTTCATACATAGTGGCTTTTCAGGGCAGTGATAGAGATATAATTTATTATTGGTAACTACTACATATTATTTTTTTCTGTGGAAAAATTGAACTATTATTGATCTATTTCTGTATTGATGGACATTTTGGTTGTTTCTAATTTTTCACTATTACAAACAATGCTGAAGTCAATGAATGTGTATGTGCAGCTTTATATGGTTGATAAAGTGTTACTATAAGCATGAGTTATAGAAATGCAAACATAGAGACATAAAGAATGATCAGAAATTGTCAAACTTCCATCTTCTCACATAAAGATCAGGTTAATTTTCTCTGGGAGTAGGGGGGGCGCTGATTAAAATCCACATTCACAAGTCCCTCATGAGACCTACTGAATGATATCTCTAGGAATAATATAGGAGAATAGTAAATGGTAAAAATATTAAGATATAAAACATAGCAAAGTCTAAAAGCACTAAGAGAAGTATAGAGAATGAAGGAAGGAAGGAAGGAAGGAAAACAAAAGTGAACAGAATAAAGTCCTTGCCTGCAGCACTGGAGGACTATTTACATCACGGAGCATCCCAATATGTCCACGTCTGCTTCTGGAAGTTCCTAGTTATATCCGTCTTCAATGCTCCCGTATGGCTTTTAATTCTCCCTTTAAAAGATACTGAGGATAATCCTAAGTACATACAACAAATCTTTCCCTGGGAAGTGGATAGGTTTCTGAATAGTAGTGATGGAGGAAATAGGGGAATCTCTAAGAGAAATTGAAGCTAAGAGAGGGCTCAAGAGGAGTGAGCACCTGTGAGTGACAAATACCAGACCCAGAGCAACTCAGCCCCATGCTGTACCACTGGCCTGATCACTGGGGCAGGTGAGTGCTAAACTACTAAGTCACTAAGCTCACCAGGGCTAAGAGTTTTTGCACTACAGAGCCCAGAACATTCTGCTGTTGAAGATATGGAAGAAGGAAAGGGTGTGATCCCTGTATAAACTGATGGGCCAGATACATTCATGGCTTTGGTGGAAGTTTCAAAGGTATGGGTGTCTCAATCTCTGTCTCTGTGTCTCTCTTCCTGAGTTACTGTAATGACTTTCAAAAAGCTAGGAAAGCTGATTAATGAAGTTCATTAAAATAAGAAGTTACTAAGGGAACAAAAGTCATTGAGTGGATGTAAATTAGTTCCAGCAAATTTTGTGGAAAACAAAGATTTCAACAACACTTAGAGGGAATGAAAAAGATGTGGTTTCCTGGAGAAGAGGAAGATGGGAAGAGAAAGGCAGAGACATGAAAACTGGAAGCTGAGATTTTGTTAGACTTCAAGCCAA